TAAGCTTGGTCTGTTTGACTTTTGGCATCCTCACTACTTGTCAAAAGTGAGGGGAAAACAGGGACCTCCCTTTACCCAGGATGCAGTCTTAGTGCTCTTTAGAAGGAAGTCACGGAGATCTATTTTGAAGGCACATTGAGCCAATTTAAGACCGGTGAGTAACAGGAGGGGCGGCCTCCTCGGTGTTCTGGATGTGACTCTAGGGTAGCTATGCTCGTGGCGTATCTCGCCAACATCCCGTCTGTATGATCCCTCACTTCCTTTCCGGGCACCTTAGCTGGCCGCACCTCAGCTCTGGTTACTCTCTCACACCACCTTCTCCTTGGAGGGGAAGTGCAGCATAGCTAATGATGTGTCCTTGCCCCCAGCAGTGTGTAGCATGGAATGTCAGGGTCCTTGGACAGACAGGAGACTGGGTAGACAGCGTTGGCCTCAAACCCAAGGGGGTTGGTTGGAAAGTCCGGTTCGCATCCATTCAATGCACGTGGATTGTAAACACTGGTGGTACCTAAATGTTAGGATTGTTCTGGGTGCTGGGGATGCCCAGAAGAGTTGGAAAATCCCTCCTGACCTGGAGCTTATAGTCTTACGGGGGAAGACAAGCAATTAAAAGGTAACAGAAAAAAGTTGCCTGTTACATACTGGTAAGCGCAAAGGAGGAAAATAAAAGGGAGAATGGTGTCAGGACTTTCAGGGGGAGGGATTTTCTCCTTCTAGATCAGATGGCCCGGAAAGGCCTCACAAAGCAGCTGACAATTGAGCAAAGACAAGAGGGAGGTGAGGGAGTGAGCCATGTGGATGTCAGGAGGCAGAGCATTCTGGGGAGGGGGAACAGCCTGGGCAAAGGCCCTGGGATTATACACTAGCGTGTTTTACCCAGTGCTGCTAAAGCAGAGAGAAGAAGGAGGAGAGGGAGTGGTGAGCTCAGACAGGTCATGTGGGCCTATCGTCTGTGATCGAGGTTGATGTTTTTATTCTTACAGAGAACCAGCCTGCTCTGATGAGGGTTTGCCTGGTCACTCTGGTGTGGAGAATGGGCTGGAGGGGGTCAGTCAGGACACTGCTACGGGATCCCGGGCGAGGGAGCCCCAGACTTGTCTGAGGGTTGGGAGTGGCGTCAGCTGATAAAACTCCCTGACAATTTAGGGGTGCCCAGGTGACTCAGTCGGTTAAGTGCCCGACTCTCGGTCTCGGCTCAGGTCACGATCTCACGGTTCCAGCGTTCAAGCTCTGCATCGGGTGCTGTGCTGACCACGTGGAGCCTGCCTGGTATTCTCTCTCCCTCTCTCTCTCTGTCCCTCCCCTACTCGTGCTTTCTCTCTCTTTCAAAAATAAGTAAAAAAAAAAAAAAAAAAAAAAAAAAAATCCCTGAAAATTTAGTATGCGAGTTTTCAGGCTGAGAGAAAGGAGGAACCCTCCAAGGGGGCTTTGTCACCTGAATTTTCCTGATGGAGTGCTATAAGAGTCGTCTTTCCACTGTTGGGAAAGTTGATAACAAGGAATTTGACTTAAAGATCCTCTCAAAACTCCTCCCGCTCCAACCTTCGGCCTTCCTGACGGTCCTTCTGCAAATACAGTCCATATTTACGGGGCTTGCGCGGTGCCCGTCCCCCTGAGCAGCTCTGAAACGTCCTCGGGGTGACCTGCCCGGGTAGCAGTCCTTACAGCGGCCCCGAGCGTTTAGGTTTCTGTTTCTCCGCTTTCCTTATCTCACGAAAGCCTTGCGGAAACTTCGGGCGGGAGCAGGGCAGAAACAAGCGTCATCCTGCCGCTTTTCAGAGGCAACACGGAACCGTAGGCTCAAATACCTGCCTAAGGCCCACGGCTAGCAACGGCGGAGCTGGGACTCAAACCCAGGCCCTCTGACCCCCCAACCAGTGGCCCTTCTCCCGACTCACCAGTATTTGCCTCTAACGCGGCATTTCCAAACAGAGCCTGTATCAGCGTGCTACGGCTGCTGTAACAAAACGCCACAGACCGTGTGGCTTCAACCACAGGAGTCTACTTCCTCACATCTCTGGAGGCTAGAAGTCCAAGGTGAAGGTTTCACAGGGTTGGTTTCCTCTGAGGCCTGTCTCCCTGGTTTGTAAGTGGCTGCCTTCTCCCTGTGGCCTCACGTGGTCTTCCCTCTGTGTGTGTCTGTCCCTCATCTCTTCTTTTTACAAGGACAACAGTCATCCTGGATTAAGACCCACCCGTATAACCCCATTTTACCTTAATTACCTCTTTCAAGGCTCTGTCTCCAAATACAGTCACATTCTGAGGCCCTGGGGGTTAGCAGTGCCCCGTATGAACTTTGGGGGAATACGGTTCAGCCCATAGCGCGTTCCCTCATCTGTGGTCATCCGGGGTGAGCCCCCCAGTGACGGGCACCATAACCCCCAGACGAACTCTTTGTAGGAAAATCAAGTGACTGCCAGTCCTTCGCTCTCACTCCTTGCTTTCTTGCTGCAGCTGATCGGGGGCCTGATCCTGTCGGTGGGGATCTACGCAGAAGTTGAGCGGCAGAAATATAAAACCCTTGAAAGTGCCTTTCTGGCCCCAGCCATTATCCTCATCCTCCTGGGGGTCATCATGTTCTTCGTGTCCTTCATTGGAGTGTTGGCTTCCCTCCGCGACAACCTGTGCCTTCTCCAAGCGGTGAGTTGGCCCCACGCACCCCTCAGCCGGTGGGTGGGGGCGGTCCTTGGAGTCCCTAGAGAACTGGGGAGACTGCCCTTGGGCCTTTGGGCAGCCCGGTTTTTTGTTTTTTTTTCAGTCCTTGCCTCAAACCACACCTTCTAGAGGGTTTCCTGGATCAACCTCTCTGTTACGTTGGCCCAAGAGACACCAGGCCACCTCCACTTTTGTATATAAAGGCTGACTTGAATATTCTTCTTACTTAAACCCTGTGTTGGTCTAGACTCTCTGCTGCAAGTGGGAGAAACCATACTCAAACGAGAGCAAGCAAACCCCAAAGATGTTGGTGGTGAGTCCTTGGCTCACGTAATCAGCAAGCCCACACTGAGACCACAGTGGTACCACGCTTTAGATGGTACCCCTGGGCTCCTGCTCTTTCGCCACCTCCCAGCTGGATGCCAGGCTGGGTCCTCAGGCTCTCTTTGCAATTGTCACTAGGCACCTCACGCCAATAGAGGGTTTATGGCCCTTGATCCCAGAGAGCGTTTCCTGGTAACCTATGGCTGAAGTCCCAGGACTCTGATGGGCCTGCCCGGGCCAAGTAAGTGCCTGCCATGGCGCCAGCCTTACCTGCCCCCCTTTCTGCACAGTGAGGGATGGCTCCCCAAAGCTGGGGGTACTGGGTAGGCAGATCCATTCACTCTGTACCCACGTGTGTGTCTGACCTCACTGTCACCTCTCACGTGGGAAGGTCCGAAAAGCCCTGATAAGCAGTGTGTTGGTGCTGCCTGAGGCTGGAAGTTGCTGGCATCAGTTTGGACAATACCTGCTTTGTGATGGGGCAGGGGTGGGGGGATATATCCTTCAAGCCTCAGACATTCTCTCACCCACTCTGGGTGGGGGGGGGGCTGGGAAGCCACTTCTGAGGGGCTCTGCGGGCAGAGCTGGAAATGCTGTGGCGGCTGCCCATCTAGCCAGGCCTGCCCACTCTGGGTCAGCTCTCCTGGTGGCGGTGGCGGTAGGAGGGGTGTTTTTCTGCCTGGACTCTGCTGAGGACCGTGGGATAAACCTCAATAACCATCTGGCCTGGACAGCTGAGTCACACTTCCTGACCACTGACTGGCCCCAGAGATGGGTTTTCCCGGGGAATATCTGTCCACATCCTGTGCCCTCACAGGAGGAAGGAGGAAAAGGCCCGGGAGCCAGAGGAGCTCCAACAGAGAGGATTCTCCTTATCGCACTTGACCTTGGGGCAAAGGATGCTTTTCTTGTCCCTCTAAGTGAATCTCTGAATTTTGTTTTTCAGTTTATGTATATCCTTGGGATTTGCCTCATAATTGAGCTCATTGGTGGTGTGGTGGCCTTGATCTTCCGGAACCAGGTGGGTCTCTGGTGCATGTATCAGCCATGTGTATGCTGAGCTCCCACTGTGCATGCCCTGGGCTGTAAACTAGGGGTGTGCAGAGAGTAGGGTAGATCATTCCTTGTGGAGCGTCCATTCTGCCGGGGAGACGGGCGCTGAACAAGTAAACCAGAGAACAAGAAAACAGAACAGGTGACAGGTGAGTGCCTGGGGTAGGCAAGGCACAGGGGGAACAGAAGTCCAGACAGAGGGAACCACTGAAGCAGAAAGGAGCTTGGCAGTTTTGTGGACCAGTGTGCGGGCCACTGGGCTGAAGTGGGTAACTGATGGGGAGGCATGGAAGGAAAAGTCGCAAGGGCCACCAAGACAGACCCCCTAGGTCCTCGTAGGCCATGGTTTAGGGGCCACTTTACACGGGCTGTGTGACCTTGGGCAAGTCACTTAGCCTCTCAGATCCTCAGGATATCAAGGCGTTATCATTCCTAGCTCTTGGCATGTGGGGTGAGGAGTTGATGAGAGAATGCATGTGAGAAACTGGCGTGGCAATGACCCCCCCCCCCCCCCCCCCCCCCCCCCCGCCGTTGGACTCTTGCTACACATTAGCTCCTCTGTCCTGAAGCCTGGAGAAGAGAAGGGACTGGCCCACGGTCCTGCAAGAAGCTGGTGGCTGTGCAGGGCTGATTTCCAACTCAAGGCTCTGTCATTTCTCCCATAGCCCATTCCTTTGTCTTCATCCTGGCCTTGGTGTCGGAGGTGGGACTTGAGGAGCAGGGCAAGTTTGCACAACCTCTGCCCTGTCTGTCCACCCCCTGCCTCCACCCTCCCCACCCAGACAGCTTGGGCCCTGGCGCTCCTGGGCATTGCTGCGGGGCAGTTGCATCAGGACTGCGGTCAGGTTGTCGCTCTTATCAGAAGTTGAGCCCAAGGCAGCATCACTATCCCGGATCCCTCAAATGACCCGGTGTTTGACTCCTACCAAGCTCCTCATGTGTGCAGCTGGATCCTGGCCCGGGTGGGAGCAGGGATGGGCCTTAATCACAGGCTTGACCCCCAGAATCCAGGGGCCTTCTTTCCATTTTATGGACTCCAGGAGAGGGGAGGGGAGATTCCCATCTCAGTGGAGTCAGTGAGGCACAGAGAGGTTGGGAAAACTGAGAGCACACAGCAAGATCGAGTCGGCTCAGTCTTCTTTTTCAGTTCTTTGTTCCTCCCCGACCCCAGCTTCACCGAGGTATAGGAGACAAGTAAAATTGTAATATTTTCAAACTGTGCAATGTGAAGTGATTACCACAATCCAGTTAAATAACACATCCATCACCTCAGACAGTAATTTTTTTTTCTTTAGTGAGAATACTCAAGACCTATTCTCAGCAGATCTCACGTATAGAATATGCTGTTGTTAACTATAGTCGCCACGACATGCATTAGATCCCGAGAACTTATTCGTCATATAACTCAGAGTTCGTACCCCTGACCAACGTCTCCCTCTTCCACCACTCCTACCTAGGCCTTGGTAACTCCTTTTCTGCTCCCTGGTTCTATGGGTTTCCCTTTCTTAAAAAAATTATTTATTTATTTGTTTGTTTATTTGCTTATTTTGAGAGAGAGAGAGAGAGAGAGAGAGA